GACCAGCTGTGGATGGTCCCCAGTGAGCTCGCTGGGCTGCATGACCTCGGTCTCTGCTGCAGTGGTTCTGACCAGCGGTGTCCCCTCACGTGAGGCACATGTGACAGTGGTCACCTGAGATGAGTGTGACCCAGGAGCTGAGTTTTACATTTTATTTAACTCATGTACATTTAATAGATACTGACACTAGTGGCTATCCTGTTGGACGGAGAAGCTCTTGCGTTTTAGTGAAAATGCACAATCCATTTCTTTTATTTAAAGTCTCCTTGGTCCTTAGGGTGCAGAAACCAATCTGCATGGCAGTGCCCTGGAAACTTGAAAAGTAAAAGTGTGTCTTGTGTTTTGAGAGGAAAGAATTTGACAACAGTTAGAGCCACTCTGGTTTCTATGTGTTTTGGGCACTGGTACTGTCACCGTCATTTAGCTGCTTGACCTGTCACGGACTGTGCAGGTAAACTGCACCTTCTGCTCTCAGTTCCCCATCATGGTCTCAGCTTCCAGAATTCAGTCACTTTATTGTCAGTGTTACACTGCCTGCCCTGGACCTGCTCTTTATTCAGAAAGGAGGATGAGAGGAAAATGTCTTGCTCATACTTTACACTTAGCATGTCAGATGAGGAAGAAAAGGTTTTATCTCTTCACAGTCACCACATGGCTTTGGAACTTCAAGGTCTTTCAGCTTTGATGGGGGTGGAGTCACAGACCACGGAAGTTCATGAAAGGAAACAGCCGCTGCACCTGTCTGGACTTCAAGAACATTTTATTTTCTCATGTAGTATTAGAAGTTAGTATCTGAGGGAATTGTTTGGTGCTGTGACGAGTCTGGCTAGCGTCTCTGTGGATGTCTTGTCCCTCCTTTCATACTTAATGCTTTGTGGTTATAAGGTGGCTGCTGGAGATCCAGACATCAAGTCCACATTCAGGGGAGGCAGACATGGGGGAGGGAGAAAGGTCGTGTCAGGTGTGTCCATCCTTTCCTCAAGCCATATAATCTTTTCCTGAAATATTAGCACCTGTCATTAGACACAGATGTGTCTATCACAGACAGACTGAACTTTAGGGGGAGAGAGGAAAAAAATCTTTAGCCTGGTAAGTGCTTTAGGCTAAATCAAAGTTCACTAAGCAAAGAGGAAGAGGGAAATGGGCACTACTTAGGTGACTGGCAGTGTTTCACATCGTAGGACTCCAACTGGCTATAAATGTAAGAGTAATATATGGGCTATCTATAGAATAATAGAGAGATAGAGGGAGACAGAGAAAGAAAGAGAGAAAAACTACTTTTCCAGAAGAAAATAAGCTATTGGTGATTTTATAAATCTTTAAATCACAGATTTCCAGTTCATGTACTTGGAATGAGACAAATGCTAGTAACAGACCCAATAAATCCTCAGAATGGGGCGCTGGTCTCACTGAGTCCTGTCACAGCCATTTCAGTCCCACACCCTGTCTGCACTGGTAGCCCCTCCGCTCCCCAGGCAGGGCCACTGCTGTCTGCCTGCACATCAGGTGGGCTGGTTTGACTCAACACAGCCGAGTCCCTGAGGAAACTTCTCAGGTGAAGAGAGCAGCAGAGGGAGTGGCAGAGCATGAGTGTGGGAAAGACTGAACCTGCAAGAAATAAAAACACTTGTGCACTTTGTGTGTTGGGGAGGTTGGCTGGAGAGACTGCAGGTGGACTACGGAGTCAGAGTTTATCCTAGGCATGGCAGGAAACTGCCAACTGTACTTCACTCACATACAGGGCGAGTGTGATGTCTGACCTTTAGCAGTTAAGTATCTAGGAGTAGAAGTAACCTGGGTATGTTCAGACACCTTCTGTAATGTTGTAATTTGTCAATTTCAATATGTTGGGTGCCGTATTTTGCTAAGTGTCTTCTGTACTTTATACAACCAATGAGAAAGGTCAAATTCTGAGTGTCAGAGAGGGCTCTCAGCAGACTTTTTTCTCTTCCAAAGACACAGACTGGCCCACACTGAGTTCTCTAGGAAATATGAGTACTTTCTGTAGGACTCTAGTTTCTCTTCTGCTCTATCAAGATTTTAGATAGAGCTTCATTTTCTGTATATTATTCAAACACCTAGACTCACCATGTCTGCTAAAGAAGCCAGCTCCCCAAATAAGCCTCAGCTTCATGTAACTGTAACATACACTGCTAAATTTTAAAATATGATTAGAGATTCTGGGTCTCGATTAGTTTTGATTGACTTTTTGAAAAAAATACTAGGATTTCATGTCCATAGTGAAAGAAAGAGGTAAAGAAAGACTGGAAAAATGAGTCGGGGGTTACTACAGGAACCCAGATGAGAGATCATAGCCTCTTGCTTTAGGACTGAACCAATAGAGAAAAACAGCTATGTAGGCCTTAATGTCTATTTTGAAGGTAAAATAGAATTTAGTGGTAAAGCAAGTCAAAGGAAGTCTGCACAGCAAACAACAAAGAATAATTCTAAGTCATGGGTAAAGAAGAGTTGGCAGAGTCCTGGTTACAGCTTAGTAATATTTGCTGGGTGGAGGTAGAGAAGGCAGACGGGTAGCTACCACATGGATGGCGCCTAGCAGTGTTCAGCCATCTCAGCTTCTCATCTTTTGGAATTGGGAGAACCGACTTTATTGTTTTCCCATTGGGGAAGGGAATCTGGAGAATGGCCAGATAAACAAGGTGATGTGCAAAGGGAGAGGACATAGCCAAAGAGAGTAAATGTGTTAGCAAAAGGGGAAGTGAGAAGAAAGTGAGGAGGGTGTGGAGGCTGGTAGTAGAGCGCTGGCAGGGCTCTTGGGGTGCAGTGATCTGAGCAGTACACACGCAGCTGGTGAATCAGAAAACCGCTTTTGATGTAAAAAATAAAAAAAGATGGGGGCCTCTTTTGGGGGGAGTAACTACCTTTGATGGTTGGAATATTTCTTTTATTTGTTTCCAAGCAGAAGTTTGATTCCTTAAAGTGCCAACTTGAGCGCTGTTTAACTAGTTGGGTTACTGTGAGTGTACACGGGGAATGGAGTAGGACACGGGTCTGATTTGCGGGAATAGTCATGATGTGGGGGCAGTGAGGAAGTGGATTTCATGGTTTTATTTTGAACTTGGTCACATCCCTTGCCCAGGTTGTAGAGAGCCTTGAAAATGGAAGACGAGGAGAAGAAAGAGAAGAAAAAATGAGGTTGGTTAGAAGGTGGAGTCAGAGTTTATCCTAGGCATGGCAGGAAACTGCCAACACCTAGACGCACCATGTCTGCTAATACACGCGCCAGTTTTCACAAGAGAATGTGATTATTACGTATTGCGAATATACATCAATAAAACCAGCAACAGAAAAAATTCATGATATTCATGAAATTTTGATAGATTATTTCTCATTCTGACTGAAATTTTAGAAAACATAGACAATTACTGTTATGATAAAAGTATTCAGACTTTTGTCATATTGAAATATTTTAATATTTCAGCACATCTTTGTGGTCTTATATATGGGTGTATATATGGGTAGATGTATTAATGAAGTTTGAAACATGACTAGTGATTGAAACTGTGCTGTGCGTACCAGTTTACAGCCTATATGAAATGATGTGTAAGTACTTGCCTGTTAACTATGCTTAAAAATTAATTCTCTGATAGCAGCACAGTGCACCATGAATTACTCAGCCATTTCCTGTTTTAGACTGCAACGTAGCTAGTTTTCTATCCCTTAATGGATTTTTATTTTTTGCTATTTCTGTATACCATTATAAATTCATTGTCATTAATGTTCATCTATTAAAACCTGCAACTGAGAAATTAGCCAGAGTTAAAATTGCTGATACAAAATAATGGGTTCTTTTTAGGGCTATTGAGAGATATTGTCAAATAGCCTTCAAGTTTTGGAGTCTTATATTCTTGTTGTCAGATGGTTTTTGCCTATTTTATCTCATTTCCTCTCTAAAGCTAGAAGTTAAATTTTAAGATACAAAAATATGATAGCTCATAACTTTAATTTGCATGTTTTTGGTTACTAGTGAATTTCAACAGTTTTCATGTCTTTTTGGCTAATTTTTTTCTTTTTTTAAAAAAAATTTACTTCAGAGAGAATAAAATCAAGCAAAAGAAAACAGAATAATAAAGCCAATCAAAACAAGACAGTATAAGTGACATAGGATTCCAAAACCAGATAATAGGAAATCAATAATGGTTACCTCAATGCCTCTCACTGGCCTCGAAACAGCTGCCCAGGCCTTCAAACATAGCAAAATCAAACAAAACAGAAACAGAATAGAACCAATAAAAGCAAAACAGTGAATTCAATGTAAGACTTGAAAACAAGATACTAGTAAATCCAGAATGGCTACCATCATAAATATCATTCTCCTTGAAATAGCTGCCCATACCATCAGATACAACAAATCAAACAAGACAAAACAGAATAAAACCCAACAAAACAATGAGAATGATATAGGATTTCAAAACAAGATAATGGAGGATGAATCATGGCTACCACCCCTAAAAGGAGATCCCCAAATATGCTACAATGAGTATTTCCGTCCTCCAAACAGATGATTCGACCACCAGCTTTCGGCCCGCACAGGCAGTGAAACACTAAATACTACAAATGTCAAGTTACATTCCACTCATTAGCCAGTATCACAGCCTGTGTGTCTCTGGATCAGCCAGTTGCTTATGGAGCAGGTATGGGGAATTTTGATCCTTCTTGTCTCCTTGCTGGCGCACCATAAGGGGCTGATGTCTGGCTCTTCCCCAGTTGGCCTGCACATGGTGCCGACTCACAGGAGAGCTTAGCTTCTTGTTGACTTCTTATTCTCCCACCCTGAATGGTGCTGACTTACAGGAGAGGGCTGGCATCTGGCTGTCCCCCAATCAGCCTGTGCATGGCCATGAATATTTTTCTTAAAAAGTTAAATTAATGTGTTCAATTCCTTTTTTGTTATATTTTTATCATTTAAGGTAATTTGAGCCTTATACAGAGAGATGACTAAAATAAGTGTTAGTACAACTGACTGAAAATCCAGATGGGTGCTTTCTTCAACAGCACAGTCACTAAAATTGGAATCTTATAGAGATTAGAGTGGCCCCTGTGCAAGAATGATGTGCAAATCCATGCAGTATTCCACATTAAAAAAGGAAAATAAATTTAAAAATCATATGGGTTTGACCCAGCAGCTGATAATGTGTACAGTTTGTTGCTCCTTTTCTAGTAATCTTCTCAAATGTAGCTGTGTCTTCTGTGAAATGTACTATTCAGAGAAAATGTGATTTTTTCTTATTCCTTATAGTTCTGAGAGATATTCTCACAGCTGAAACTTTTCTCCTTTCATTTTCACTATTCTTCATACATCACTAGTATGAACTCCAGAGTTATGGGAGGGCAAGGTATGGACTGCATATTTATCGAGCTCTAATTGTGTGTCTAAATGAAGGTACCAGCCGTGATACTACAAATGTAAGTCTTAAAAACTAATAATTTACATAATTAGCTCACAGAAGGTCTCAGCTATTATTTAAGTTCATATATAACATCACATCGTCAAGTGTTAATTTATGCTCTGTTCCTTCCAGAATGATTGAGCTGTTTGGTAGTTTTATTTATGACTCATGCTTAGATTCATTTTGCAGTGATGATAATGCTCAGATAATGGAAATTTATAGTCAGCTCTGACAAGAGGCCATAAAACAAGTGACTGGATGTTTTCTCTATTGCCACAGGCTTAATTTGTAACATAAAGTACTTAATAATTGTTATTAATGAACCCGCTGTGGTTGGTTTATAGACACAGCTGGAAATCACATCTGTCATCAGGCAGCCTGGGTTGAGGAAAGTACAAACACCACAGGGAACTAATAGCAACAAAAGGAAATGACATCACCAAGCCACAGGAAGTACCCAGAAGAGAGAAGGACAGAAGAGACAGAAAAGAGAGGACAGAAGAGCTTAGAATGTTAACATTTAGATCTTTGGTCCATTTGACTTTAGCACATGGTGATAGGCATGTGTCTAGTTTTAGTCTTCAGCAAAGACAGATAACTATACTACTAATCTCTTGTTAGTTCCTTAAAAAAAACAGTTTGTGTGTTCATTGATTGTTTGATCAATTTTTCATGCTTATATCTTATATTCTGAATAAATAGTTTGAAGATAACAATACGCAATATATTAACCAGCATTAATCTTCTATTACTTTGTTTTGAAATTCTGTATCATTTTTATTGTTTTTTTGTTGTTTTAGAATTTTTAAAAAAAGGGATGCTTAGAATATTTGGTTCTTTTCCTTTTTGCATGCAAATTCCAAGTGTGTGCAGTTATGAGTCACAGTTTCAGGTCAATTTATACATTAAATATTAATAAAGCTTATGTCTTCTATTTTAGATGAAATGAAATAAAAATACACCAAATTTAGCTGCCCAAATTATTCCAAGCTTCTTTCTTACTGTGTTGCTCCCTGGAAATTGGTCTATTTGCCTTTGCTTTTATAGATTTAGGTTTTCCTACCTACAGGTTTAGGTCTCTAAGTTGAGACCTCCATTTGAGGTCAATTCCCTACTGCTATTTCAAAAGAAACTGACCTGCTCCTCTTCACTCCCCATTCATTACTTTACTTATTTCTTTTTGCCCCTCCCAACTTTCACTTTGCCATTGGCAATTATTCCAATATCTTTGTTTCATTTCAATATCTGTGTATCATTTGCTTATATGTAGTCCATCAAATCTGTTTTGTTTTGTGTGTGTGTATTTTTAATGTGTAAAGATAAAGTAGAGATCTCATTTCATTTTGGTTAGCAACAAAGTTGCCATTCTGGTGCTCTATGACCATCTAGTTCATTCTCTCTAATCCTCTCATCAAACTTCATGTGTGTCCACTAGAAGTTTTCTCTCATTCTTGGACGGTGAAGGGAGCTTAGATGGCTCTGAACCCTTTGTAGCACAGACATAGCTGCTATGGATGTCTTAGATGTGTCCCCCAGGGGCCTGAGGGGGAATTCCTGGATTGCACGCAGAAGCACTGCATCACAAGGTGCTCGTAGCCCTGATTCCAGCAGCTGCTGGCAGGCAGCGCTGCTCACGCCTGCACCATTCTTTTCCCACAGGTGGCACCACACCTTCTCTATCCCTGTGTTCTGCTACAGGCTGAGGCTTCTGACTTCTGTGCTCCAAACAAGTTCACACACACAGGATGATGTTCACTGTTTTCATGTACTTCTGTGATGACTGCATTTGGTCTTCTTCTGATTGCTTATTTACCCTTGGAATTAATTCTATTTGAATTTCTTATTCATGTTTTTTGCCCATTTTTTCTCTTGGGATATCAGTCTTTTATTGACTTAAAACAGTTACTAGATATTTTTAAAAAATTGTTAGCTTTAGATATTGCCAATATTTTCATATAGTCTGTCATTATCTGATAGGTTTATGTTTTCTCTATTAAACAAAAATATTTAATTTTTATTTAATCATATTTAACAAATCTTTGCCTTCAGATTTATTCTTTTCAAATATTTAAAGAATAATTCCATCTTGCCTCCCAATCACAGGTAGGTGTTTTGACATTTCTCCTGTTTATTATCTATTTTACCTTTCATTAATCAATGTGGATATATATATATATATATATATATATAATTATATAATTCAAATTTATTTTTCTTCCATAAACAAAAAAACCCTATTTTTCACCTTTGAGTTTTGATGTTATATTTCTATATTCATCACATTAAATGCTCATTTCAGTGACTTCATATATTGCTTAGCATGAAAACTAAAGCCTTATAAAGACATGGAAAATCAGAGATCATAATGCTCCATCTTGCCTTTGTTGCTGAGAATTGCTTTTGCTAGTCTAGGCCTCTTCTGGTTATAAATCATACTACAAAGCTGCTGTGATAAAATCACCATGGTACAGGCAAAAAATAAATGAAATTTAAAAAAAGAAAACTGAGTAACTTCTCAAGATAACAATATGCAATGAATTAAGTATTGTTATTCTGCTATTATTTAATTACCAGTATTTTTCCATAAAATAAAGAGAAGGCAGATACTTCATAATAAAATGAGCAAAAGCTGAAAATCAGAAGAAAAATTTGTTTTGTTTAAATGGTGACTTACACATGTAAAAGGTTTTAAATTTTGTAGATATACTTTTGTATGTTTGTATTTTGTAGATACATATTTGTTTTTTTTTAATTTTATTGAAAGAAAGACTAAATAAAACAGGAAACAGGTAGAAATAATACATACTTTCAAAGAAAAAATAAACAGTAAGAAATCATTGGTTGATGTTTACATATTGTCCTCTTACAAATAGTTGTTCAAGATACAAAAGTGGAACATATAAAATGGGGATTCAAACAGCAAGACTGCAAACAGTTCTGTTCAACTGTTTATTCAACAAAAACTTAGTAATATGGTTATCAATCATATACACTTAAACATACATGCAGTTATCCATCTCTTCATTTATGTTGAGATTAAACAAACCAAAGCAGGCTAAAATCACTCTGAACAAAGAATAATAGGATTGCTGGATTTCACATCATGACACTCCAGGATCAGCACAGGGTACTGTAGTGTCTTTTTTCCTTCAAAGTATTTGTTCATTTCATCGTGTGTCATAAGATCAGTTCTCGTAAGCTGTTTATAGGTTCTACACATGCATGGATCTTAACATGTATTTCTATCCTTTCTATATTAGAAGGAGAAACAAAACAAAGCAGGACAAAACAAAACATATTCCTATAAACACATAAAACAAAAAAGACATAAAACTGCTGTACAAGGAGTTTTACCATGGTTACTGTGTTGTCTCTTGTTCTCATCAATAGAATTGGTTATATCATCAAACATAGTATAATTGAATATATCAGTGCATAACAGTATTAATAAAAACACAACTTTGTAGATAGTATAAAACTACAAAAACAGGTAGTAATCAAACCAGGATAGGTATTGTAGTAAATCTTGTCATCTTCAATGTAATTGTCTATACTCTCAGACTTGATACTATCAATCATAACAATTTTGAATAAAATCTGTTGATACCAAACAGCAATCAAACAAATCAGATTTAATTAAGATCAGTCATAATAAAACAGTATAAGTTATACAGGGCTCCAGATTAAGTCAATAGGAAATTAAAGATGATTACTCTGCTATATCCTGATATTTTTGGGATGGCTGTCTGTGCTCTCAGATCTAGTGCATGTAGACAAACTGGGACAGAATAAATTCTATCTAAGCAGAGTGGTGCGAGTAATATGGGTTTTAATTCCTGATATACTATTCACAATATCTTCTGCCATCGTTTTTCAGACTATTTCTCCTCTTTCACTCCTCCAGGATGCACTGTGCATTTTTGGGTCTCACCAACACCCTTGGTTTTAAATTGGGGGGGGGGCAACCTGCTATTTACCTAAGTGGTTCCAAACCTTCTCCCTCCTGGACTTGACTTCTAGTGGTATTCCTTTACCTTTTAAGTCTGTCTTTCCAACCTATCCACAAATACTAGTCTAGTTGCCCTGATTACTCTCTGGTTCCCTGTCACACAGAGCATTGTTTTCTCATATTTGATTTTTGGTCCATATACCCTTTTTCAGGTTAATTATACTTCCTATAAAGAGCATCTCGGTAGAACCTATCTCCTGATCTACTCTGTCTGTGATTCTCTTTTTTTTTATTTAGTATATCAAGGCCATCTATATTAGAGATTATAGCCAACTTTCTCTGCCTCATTTCTGTTGTGCTCTTTTTCTGCAATTAGTTGTCTCCTTGTCTTCTTCATTTCGCTTTCTGTTCCATTCATTCCCACCTCTTTGCCACTATTTCTGGAATCCTGGTACTTTTCTCTCTCTCTAGAATGTCCTGCAGTATTCTCTGTAGAGTTGGGTTGGTGGTTGTGAATTCCCCTAGTTCCTCTTTGTCTTGGAAGCATCTTGTTTCTCCATTAATTTCTAGAGACAGTTTTTCAGGGTACATCAATCTGGGCTGGAGGTTATTTTCTTTAAGGACTTGGAATACTTCATTCCAAGCTCTTCTTGATTTGACGGTCTGTGTTGTAAAGTCTGCCATAATTTTGATGGGTTTTCCTTTATATGTAATCTTTGATGGCCTTTAATATTCTGTTTTTAT